CCAAAGGACTCTGGGCGGCTTACATAAAAATAACTCTAAGAATACAAAAAATGTAAAATCAGAAAGAAGCAGGTTAAAAAAAAACCCATCATGCCCTCAATTTAAATGGGGTTGGACCTCAGTCATGAGGCAAGCAGCCTCAGGCCTACCGGAACAGCCAGGTCTTAGTAGCCTTACGGAAGGCCGAGAGAGTGGGGTGGGTCCGGATCTCTGGGGGTAGATCGCTCCATAGGGCCGGGGCAGCTACAGAGAAGGCCTTCCCCGAGGGGCCGCCAGACGACATTGTCTAGTTGACAGCACCTGGAGAAGGCCCAGCCTGTGTGATCTTATCGGATGCTGGGAGGTATGTGGCAGAAGACAGTCTCGTAGATATCCAGGTCCTAAGCCATGTAGGGCTTTAAAGATAATAATCAGCACCTTGAATCGCGTTCGGAGACTGATAGGGAGCCAGTGCAGCTCGCGGAGGATAGGGGTAACATGGGTGTATCTCAGTACACCCATTATCGCTCGCGTGGCTGCATTCTGGACCAATTGTAGTCTCCAAACACTTTTCAGGGGCAGCCCCATGTAGAGCGCGTTACAGTAGTCAAGCCTTAAGGTGTCTACATGAAGCCTCTGGATAAGATCATCCATCCCTATGGGATGATATACCATCAGTATGCGGATGATACTTAGCTGAATATCTCAGGCCATGTTGACAACTTCCCTCTTTAGGCTGGAGGCTAATAAGGTCTGCATGAGGAGCAATGAACTGAAATTGAACCCTGGCAAAACAGAATGGTTTGGGGGAATTGGGTTCTGGTTTATAGAGAATTGTCATCTTTGATCCTGGATGGAGTTGCACTGCCCCAGATGTTCCTGGTGCATAATCTGGGAGTTCTCCTTGACTTGCAACTCCTGCTTGAGAAGCATGTGGCACTCGTGTCTAAGAGGGCCTTTGCACAATTTCAGATTGTGCATCAATTATACCCTTTCCTGAACCAACAGCCCTGCTCATATTTATCCATACTCTAGTCACATTTTTCTGTTGGAGACAGGAAAAATGTAGATTCTAAGAATTTAAGCTTCCTTTACTAGTGAAAATGGAAATAACCATCAGCAAACAGAATGTAGAGTAGATAGGAAGGGGGGGGGGACCAATAATTCTACTACTGTTACTGTCCATATGGAAATGGCAACAACAGAAAGAAGAGTAACTACTCAGATGGTTGCTTGTATCTACATGGTGCTCTAAATGAAATAAGTAATATGCTTTTACATGGGGCTGCCCTTGAAAAGTATCTGGAAGCTTCAGTTAGTTCAAAATGTGGTGACCTGCATGGCTTTGTGCAAGGCTAGATTTGCACACATCACCCCTCTTGTGGAAGCTGCATTGGTTGCTGATTTGCTTCCAGATCTAATGAAATCTATCATGGCTTCCTCCCATTAAGGAGGTCCATCTACTGGGAGTCAGAAGGAGGTTCTTTTCTATAACGGTTCTTTCCCCGTGGAACATTATCTCTCCAGAGAGAAGAGCGGCCCTAACCTTGTTAGTCTTTTGAAAGGCTATTTGTCTGCGCGCCTGGAGATGCCAGTCTGATATGGAGCCCATCAAGTGGCTTATTGGAATCTTGTTATGGGGGGGTGGCAGAGTTTGAGGTTTTGAGGTCTTATCCTTATAAGCCACTCTGAGTAACTGCGAGCTGAGTATCCATATAAATCTTTTAGATAAATAAATAAAGATTGCCTAATTTTATTTAGTCCTCCTAAGCTGAAATATTTGGGGTGTTGTAACTATTCTGAGGGAACTTTGGGTACTGGTATTCCCTTCTTGATAATATAATAAATATAATAAATTATAGTATAATAAAATATAAAATAATATACTATGGTATGGTATAATATGATAATATAATATGATAATACAATACAATAATATTTCAATTGGTGTTTGGAGGGAATGTATGCAATAGTCCAACACTCTGAAGAATACAATACAATACAATAGCAGAGTTAGAAGGGACCTTGGAGGTCTTCTAGTCCAACCCCTTGCCTAGGCAGGAAACCCTATA